CCTGTGGCCTCCGACAGGGGCGGCTGTTTATGAGCAGGTGGTCAGGTGCCCAGATGGACCTACTGGTCACCGCCCGGCAGGCCCCGGTTGCTCTTAGGGCAGCTGGCCAGGCCTCAGGCTTTGCATGGGGCCCAGCCTTGCTCTGAAGATGGAATGCAGACCCGGCCGGCCACACCCGGCACACGTGGCCATCTGTCCACCTGTCCCCGGCAGGAAGGAGGTCAGGCTGGATCTCAGTCCCATCCCTGGGAAAGTGGGTCCTGGTGTCCCAGCGGGGCCCAGAGCTCTGCTCCAGGGTGGCGCCCGGAAGCCTCGCTGGGGAGATGGCACTGTGCCCGCAGTTCCCTCAGGCTCCCGCTGTTTCTGTTCTGCATCTCCGGCCAGCTCAGAACTGCACGCTTGAACTCAGGTGGCCCAGCTCTCAGCCCTGGTGGCCACCCCACAGTGCCACCTGGCCTCACCCTGGCGGCTGGGGCCTCGGCCAGGACTGCTGGCTGGGCTGGGGCCGGGGTTTGTCCTCCCTCCCTCTGCGTTCCTTCCCTCTGGGCTTTTTAGGGTTAGAGCCCAGGTGACTCTGGAGGGAGGTCCAGGGCCCGGCTGGCTGGGGACAGGTCAGGACAGGGACGCAGGGGAGGGGCCCGGGTGTGGGCAGCCAGCCCGGCCCTGGCAGCGGTGCCAGGCCGAGGAGGCAGTGAGACGATGCCAGACAGGTGGAGCCAGTCGGTCCCCAGCAGTGCCGGCCTCCCTGGCCGCCAAGCAGGTGGCCTGTCTTCCCTTGATGCCCAACATGCCACTCATCTCTGACGTGAGCAAAAGGCCGCAGGCTGAGCAAGGGGCGGGGAATTTGCTGAGGGAGGAAGTTGCTGTGTTTGTGTGTGGAAGTGTGGCCTGGGTGTTAGAAAAGCATTTTCGATTTTCCGCTTTCTTGGTATGGAAAGGGAAAATGTATATGGAGCCTGGATCCTCTTTGTTTTTATAGCATGAGCTATGTTTTATTTCTTTCTGAGACAGGGTCTCACTATGTGGTCCAGGCCGGCCTTGAACTCACTATGTGTGTAGCCTGGGCTGACCTGGAACTTGCGGAGGTCCTCCTGCCTCAGCCTCCTGAGTGTTAAGATTACAGGTGTGGGACAGAGCACCAACTGGAGCCTGGTTGCTTCGTGGCAGAGTGGTCGGGCGAGTCCAGGAACCAGATGGGTTTGTGAGTAGGGTGGTGAGCGGGTGGGAGTGCTGTCAGGGTACACGGCTGCTCCCTCACAGAGGCGCTGGCTGTGTTCGGGGTGAGGGGGCTGGGCTCCCTCCAAATTCCAGATGTGTCACAACCATACATTGGTTGGCAGCCTCCTTTGGGAGTGTTTGAAGTTAGGAAATCGCTGCTGCTGTTCCACCTGGACCTGTGGACCCAGAGTCCTGGTGTGGCGTGGCCACAGGGAGAGACCATGCCCCTGTCTGGAGCTAAGACAGAGCCGTTTTGGGTTGAGTGCCCCACCCCTTTCCATCATAATTTGTAACGTTCAAATTGCTTAGGTTATGGGAGAGATCAGTAGGATTCCTTTGGCTGCAAGTAAAAGAAAACCTCATTCAAGATGTTTAAAATCAGCTGGGCATGGTGGTGCACACCTGTAATCCCAGCACTCTGAGAGGTTGAGGCAGGAGGATCGAAACCTGGAGCTCAGCCTTGGCAGTTTCGCAACTTAGCAAGACCTTGTTAAAAAAAAAAAAAAAAAAAAAAAAAAATAAGGGCCGGGGATTTAGCTCAGTGGTTTTGCCACCTGCTGCACAAGTGCAAGGACCCAAGTTCAATCCCCGGTATCAAAAAAAGTAAAAAGGACTGGGGATGGGGCTGTAGCTCAGTGTGAAGGTCCTGGCCTCAATTCCCAGTAACCACAAAACAAAATTCAGTCTCCCAGCACTTGGGAGGCTGAGGCAGGAGGATGTAGTTCAAGACCAGCCTGGCCCACGGAGCGAGACCCTGTCTCAAAAAGAAAAAGTCTTACATCTTCTGAGCATTGTGCCGGGGATGGAATCAGAGGCTCCTGAATTCTGGGCAAATGCTCAACCCCCGAGCCACCCTTCCACCCCGCCCCTAAACATTCACTTTATGAGCAGGAAGTTCAGAGTGGAGCAGCTTCCTGATGGACGACAGCCAGGGACTCAGGCCACCAGGTGACCCGGTTCTCTGTCCTCAGCCTGCTCCCACACCTTGCTCTCCTGGGGTCTCCCCGTTGGATGGGAAACCTCTCCCTTGTATCCCAGCGGCCCCAGACCAGCCGGGGTAAGGGAGGGCTTGGCGTGCTGCCTTCCTGAGGCCTCGGGGCTGGTGTCCCCCAGGTTACCTGACCCCATCAGCACCTGGGCGCCAGGAGGGCTTGCGGACCCGGGCAGCCACCAGAAGGCTCTTCACATGGGAAATTTTCATTCTCCAGATTTCCAACTGTGTGTGTGGTATTATGTGCCTATATAGGTCCTTGTGCATGCCAATGCACAATCCTTAATCCCTTATTTAATAATAAAAGAAAATGCTTTTTTTTTTGGTACTAGGGATCAAATTCGGGTCCTTGCGCTTGCGAGGCAGGTGGCAGCACCACTGAGCTGAATCCCTGGCCCAGGAAAATGCTTTCTGAGACAAGGTCTCACTAGATAACCCAGGCTGGCCTTGAATTTACAATCCTCCAGCCTCAGCCTCCCAAGGGCCGGGACTTCTGGGTGCACCCCCCCGCCCCCCTTCTAGTCCAAGTTCTGTTGCAGGGCAGTTGTAGAAGGTCACGATCTCCACTCTCAGCCTTTCTCTGTCCGAGGGACAGCATCCGGGCTGCTGGCATTCGGCATCTGAGCCGTTTCTTTAGTTCGCGTTTGTGCTGCGTCACGGGCCTGCTCATGGGGTAGCTGGCACCCGCACATGACGCGTCATTTCTTTCTTTGTCACCTTCCCCACAGCCCTCCTTCCATCTCAGTCCCCTTCCATTTCCCAAAGCTCTCTCTCCCTGCTTCCTGTCTTATACTTTGGGTTTCTCGTGTAAGAGAAACCCGGGATATTTAAGCGTGCGTGTCTGATCTGTCACACTTAACGTTATGGCCTCAACGTGCATCCTTTTTCCTACAAACGACCCCCATTTATCTTTCTTTATGGCAGAGTAGGACCACATTGTGTGTAAGCAGCATGTTTTCTTCATCATTCAGCTGTTGGCTGCTTCCAAGATTTAGCTGTTAGGATTGCACTGCTATAAACATGGGTGTGCAGGGGCCACTGTGATGTGATGACTCTCTTTTGGGAAGATTCTTAGACTTTTTTTCTTTTTAATTTTTTTTGGTAAACCTCCCCAAAATTGGCAGCTTAACGCCCCACCTAGGAACCAGTGGATCCCCAGGTTCTGAGAGGTGCTAGGTGAGGGGCCTGTCCTTGAGAACACCATGCCCAAGGCAGGCTCATCTCAGCCCCTTCCCAGCCAGGATGGAAGTGGTCTGCAGGTGTGGACGAGGTCCCTGAGCCCACTTCCAGCTACTGGGCCAGGTCTTCTGGTCAGGGGACCACAAGGACAGACAAATTCTCCTAGATCTTGATGTCACTGTGGACCTGGAGGTGGGTGGTCACCCGAGGCCGTTCTCAGCACTGTCCCCTTCCCAAAGGACGGACACTGCTCCTGGCAGAGGAGGGCTCCAGGCAGCTGCAGCCCGGCCTCACCGGCTGCTCTCCTGAGTGTGGCCTCGCTTCCAGACATGGTGCCTGAGCCCCGCTGCCTCAGCCTCCCTCAGGGACCCTGCAGCAACCTCCTTGTTGTGGCCCAGCCCGGAGCCTGGCATCAGAGACATCCCACTGACTTCCAGGGGGGCTGCGCTGGTCACCTAGGAGCATCTGCCCTTTGCCCATGCTGATGGGGAAACAGACAGAGAGAGCGAGGTGAGGACCCCACACTGGGAGGGTGCTGGGGAAGCTAGGGACAGATCAGGCATCCAGGCCAGAGAGCTCCTCTCTCTGTGACCCTCAACGCAGCCAGCTGGATTTTGAGATGGATGCTGCAGACACCTGCCCCCTACAACATGCCATGGCTGCCCAGTGCCCCTGCTATAGAAGCAGCTCCTTGCTGAGGCCTCAAGGCCTGGGCCTCTCCCAGCCTCCCTGCCCCCTCTTTGCTCATTTTGTCCCCACGATGTCCTCAGTAGCTGGGCCCCCCAGTGCCCTCCTTCCGGACCCCACTTTCCCACCCTCCATGAGGCCGCAGTCCCCTCGCTGTGCCTGTCCCCGGCAGCACCGGGTGCCATTCTCATTGCCCATGTCTCGCCCGTGGACAGTCTGTCCCCCAGGACCTGGGACACCCGCTTGTCCTCCGTGAGTTGTAGGCACCCAGCACACTGTGTCCCACCAGAGGAACCTGCTGGGTGTGCCAGACACCCCAAGGGGACCTGCTTTGGGGACGGGGCGGTTTCAGGCCAGTCTCCCCTTCCGATGGGTGGAGGGCCCCCATTTTCCCAGGAATCAGGACGTCTACATTTATTTTCCAGGGAGTGGGGTGCAGTTTGAGACAAGGTCTTGCTATGTAGCCCAGGCTGGCCTGGAACTCACGGCAACCCTCCTGTCTCAGCCTCCCGAGTGCCAGGATCACAGGGATGCGCCACCATGCCCAGATTTTTGTTATGTTTTGAGACAAGGTCTTGCTACATTGCTCAGGCTGGTCTCAAACTCCTGGGCTCAAGCGATCCTCCTGCCTCAGCCTCCTGAATGCTGGGATGACAGGTGTGCTCTACAGGGCCAGGCTGAAATTTGGTTTTTGGCCTCTGCCTGTCTGTTCTGGTTCTCCAGCAGAGCTTCCTCTGAAGGTGCCAAGATGAGACAGGAGGAGTCGACGGCTTCCCCTCTCAATCCCCCCTGGGCGTCAAAATGAGGGGTTTGCAGATCTCTTCCAGGACGTGCTAGCCTTCTCCCTCCACGTCAGCCTCTCGCCAGCCAGGCTGGGCTTCTCCTCCACCCTCTCTCTCCTCCCCCATCTCCTTCATACCCACAGCTCCCGGGCTCACGGAGCGGCCAGCTGTGAGTGTTTCTTTGGCAGTGTCTTAGCTGGTTGTTGTGAGTAACAGTGCAGGAAGCAATCAGCAAGTATACTGCCCTAGAAGTGCTGCACGTTGTGGGCCACGAGGGAAGAAGCAGGGGCCCAGACCAACAGAGACGCCGCCGGGATGTTGGATGCTGTGCTTCGCCCTGCTGGTGAGTGAGGGCTGCTGGGGGATGCAAGCCCTAGCAGCCCTGGCAGCCTCTTTAGGGTGCTGAGGGCAGAAGAGCCAGGGATGGTTCAGGCTTCCTCTGGCTGGGAGAAGTTTGGGATCCTAACATCCAGCCCTTAGGGGCTCCCCCTGAGTACGAAGCTCTGTGCTGAGCATTCTAAATGTGCTACATCAGGAACAAGAGTCTGCTGTTAGCCACCTTACAGGGAAAGAAACAGAAATCCAAAGAGAAAGATGATTATGGGAGAGGCAGCCGGCCATGATGGTACACACCTCTGATCGTCCCTACTCGGGAGGCTGAGGCAGGAGAATGCCGTGTTAGAGGGCAGCATGGACAACTCAGATCCAACCTCTGAAGAGGCCTGGGGGTGTAGCTCAATGGTGGGGCACTCACCAAGCATGTGTGAGGCCCTGGGTGGATAGATTTCTTTCTTTTTTTCTCTTTCTTTTTGGTTCTTTGAGATGGGATCTCACTATGTAGCCCATGCTGGCCTTGAGCTTACAGCAATCCTCCTGCCTCAGCCTCCAGAGTGCTGGATTTACAGGTGTGCACCCCCACCCGGCTGGGAATTGTTCCTTTTCCTTATGTATTCAGGAGCTCTGGAGAGGCCCCTCTGTGGTGATGCTCACTAGCTCCCCATGCCCAGTGCCCGCTCAGCCACAAGCCCCCTTGGCTGCCCAGCCTGGGCAGCAGGCGTAGGCCGGAGCGGGGCGCTGCAATGCCTGGCATGCAGGCGACAGCCACCGCCCATGAACGGTCCTCAGAGAGTTCTGATGGCAGCTGCAGGGTGGCTGAGCTGCAGTCTTGACATTTTTCCCGGTTTTCCGCAGAAGAAAAGAATGAAACAATGTCTGCCTCCCCCACCGGCAGAGGCAGCCACGCAGGGCCCGGGCTTCAAATTAAAGGGCCCACGCTCTGGCTGCGACTTCACTGGCCTGGTCACATGGGTTCAGGCGAAATCGCTGGCAAGAACCTTCTCCCTCCAGCCTGGCTTCTAATTACGCCAACGTACACCCAAGAGGAAGTGCCCCTCTCCGAGAGGACTGGTCTGCAGAAATGCCTGCTGATTAGTGAGGAATCCAGCCTGGTGTGGTGGTGGCACACACCTGTGATCCCAGCACTCAGGAGGCTGAGGCAGGAGCTTTGCTTGGCTGGGAGTTCAAGGCCAGCCTGAACTGGGGGAGGGGAGAGGTAAGGCAGAGAGGGGTGAAGGCCCTGGGAATGGCCAAGGGATGTTACATGCATGAGCCAGTTTCTCAGAGCAGACACTGTTACAGATTCCAGGCGTACACTCATAAAAGCCATCTCTATTTGAATTTTGAATATATTTGCACATCTATTCACCACACTGTGATTTGTACCGGTGTCCGTACAAAGTGATCTCTACGCTTTGTAATTTCTGGTTAATCCATGATGATTTTAAAATAAACAGGGCTGGTGTAGCTCGGTGGTAGAGCGTATGCTTAGTGTGCCGAAGGCCCTGGGTTCAATCCCTGGCACCAAGAGTTTAAAAAATGAAAATGTACAAATTGACATTTGATGAAAGGCAGTACGGTATCCTGAGTGAGATCCTGGAACAAGAAAAGGACATAAGTAGAAAGGCTGGTAAAATCCAGACAAGTCTCTAGCTAAAAGTAAACACCAGTGTTAGTTAATTTTGACAGGTGCAGGGCAGTTGTGTAAGGTGTGAACTTTAGAGGACGGTGAGGGTCCAAGGGAATGCCCTCTACTGCTCTGCAACTTCCTTGCAAACCTGGAATTACTCCAAGTAAGTGCTTACTAAACAACAAAGGTGAGTAAATACGCACGTATTTTTTTGTTTGTGGTTGTTTTTGTTTTTGTGAGACAGGGTCTCGCTACATAGTCCAGCCTGGGCTTGAACTCATTATTTGTAACCCAGGCTGGGCTCAAACTCACAGCAGTCCTCCTGCCTCAGCCTCCGGAGTGCTGGGATTACAGGTGGTGCCACCACCACATCCAGCTTTTGGAATATTTAAAACCAAATTCTTCTGTTTTCCAAACACGTCTCCCGACACACAAAATAATCTGTAAACTGCAGCCGTTATACACTGAAAAAACAGGTCGTGACCCTTAACAGCCCTCCCGGGCCTTGCAGGGTCGGTGGTTGGAATGAGGCAGATGGAGCCGCCTACGTGGAAGCGCATGCGCCCTGCGCTAGCTGTCCGTGGGTGCCGGGACCGCTCTCCACCGGCTGCAGTAGGGGCCCCAAGTCTGCCCTGCTCTGCTCAGATGGGCTGTGGCTCCGGCTTTCGGAAGCAATGAGGCCAGAGCTCGGACGCCTGTGTCCCTGTCCCTGCGGCAGCTGCCTCTCTCTTGCAGCTGCCGGTCTCGTTAGCCGCCTTCCTCCCTGGGTGAGAAGCTCGATCTCGCACGGATTCACCATCCTGGGAGGAGGAGACCTGGACTCGCCTTGGTCCCACCTCCTCTGTCGTCCCCAAGGCTAGGGATTACCTGCGACCACTCAAGAAGTCCTTCCTTCCTCCTTCGCCGGAACCGGAAATGCCCACGTAAAGTATCAAATACTCTAGGTGAGGTGGCACACTTGTATTCCCAGCTACTGGAGAGGCTGAGGCAGGAGGATCGCAAGTTCCAGGCCAGTTTGGCTATTCCAAAGACGCTGTCAACATTTAAAAGGGTTGGGGGTGGACTGGTTCAGCCCAGTACTGGAAAAAATTCTGTAGCACCGTTCAGATGGGACCTCCCCTCCCTTGTGTCATTTCAAAACAAGCCCTCCTGTTGCAATCTAATTTTCATACCTGAAATACAAGTCACAGATGAGCCTGCCTGCCTTGATTGTTTTCTTCTTGTTTGGTTTGGTTTTGTTGAGACAGGGTCTCGCTGTGTAGCCCAGGCTGGCCTGGAACTCACATTGATCCTCCTGCCTCAGGCTCCTGAGTGCTGGGACCCCAGGCCTGCGCCACTACACCGTTCCTGCCTCTAGTAGCTTTGAGGCAGAGTCTGTCAGCATCGACTCATTCCTGAATGAGCAATCTGATTCGGAGGGCAGAGGAGAGCGGAAACAACACCGCAGGAGCTGCAGAGACGCCAGACTCGTCCCATTCTGGGCAGAGGGGACCGATGGCCGAGCAGAGGTTGCCAAAGTTTGAATGTGTCCCCCAGAGCCGGGTGTGAACTTGGGATCCTCCTGCCTCGGCTTCCCAGAGCTCTGATCCCAGGAGTGAACCCCCACACCCAGCCAGCGTGCTTCCCAGGAGGGCACAGTCACATTGAACCAGGGCCACCCTGATAACCTTGCTGCAACCTAGTCTCCTCCCGATAGGCCCCGCATCCAGATGGCCACACTCAGGTTCCACATGGCAAGACATAAGCACAGGACGGGCACTCAGCCCACAGCAGGGGCCTTCTGGACCTTCACAAGCAGGTTGTTGTTTTCCTTCTGTTTTTGTGGTACTGGGGGTTGAAACCAGGGCCTTCACACTGAGCTACATCCCCCAGCCCTTTATTCTTTTTTTTTTTTTTTTTTTGGTACCGGGGATTGAACTCAGGACCTTGTGCTTTCGAGGCAGACAGTGGAAACACTGAGCTAAACCACCACCCCCCAAGCCCTTTATTTTAAGACAGGATGGACTGGGACTTGGGATCCTCCTGCCTCAGCCTCCCAGAGGGCTGGGATTACGGGTCTGTGCTGTCCTGCGTGCCTCTCCATAAGAGTGTTTTTATAGCTAAACAGTGTCTTTCCATCTGAGGTTGGGCTGTCACCATCAGAGACTCTGCAGGAAGGAAATGGGGTCCCCTCCCGGGGGAAGCAGCGCCTCCTGGTGGTAGCCTGGACTCGCTGTGTGGTCACCACACGCTGCGCCCAGGGCTGGTTTATTTTTCTATTGCAGCTCTGTGCTGGGGAGCTGAGGCGCTGTACCCCTGAGCCATGCCCCCAGCCCTTCCGGCTTGCTCATCTGTCCTGTCTGCAAGTCAGCCCTTAACCCTGGTTCTACTGCCCAGACCCTGGCCGCCTGGCGCAGCCTATGGACGCTTGCATCACAAACAAGGAGAGGACGTGGGGTCCCAAAGCCAGCGGGTTCTGGTGACCGGATCGATGAAGAGCCTGATAAAGCCAGATGAGGGGTAGATGCCTGCGCGCCTCTTCTTAGCACATGTGAGACCCAGGAGCACTGGGTGGGAGAGACTTCGGTCTCAAGGTAGTGGGGAGAACTAATTTTATCTTCAGAATCTGCAACAGCTGCCTTTCCATGTGAAAATATCCGTGGTACCTGTTGTTCTTCTTCTCTCTTCCTTTCTTTCTCTCTGCCTCCCTCTCTCTCTCTCTCTCTCTCTCTCTCACTCACTGTTTCAGGTGGAGTCTCACTGTGTTTTCCAGGCTAGATCCAAGCTTTTGGGCCCAAGGGATCCTCCTGCCTCAGCCTCCTGAGTAGCTGGGACCCCAGGCACATCCAGCCCCAGCTCGTGATGCCTGTTAACAGAATCTCAGGTGCTGCTGAAGGAAAAACTGAAAGCACACAAGATGCACTGCCTGCGTCCCTAACCAGAGGAAAAGAAGGCGGTGACCCACGGAGCCAGGCCGCCCCCCGGGGTGGGTGCCAGGCTGGCACCTCGCCCGGCTCCTCCACAGTCCCTTGTTCCAGCCACAGATGGTCACTGAGGCACCTGCACGTGTGGGGATGCCTGTGGATGGCCAGGTCCTGTCAGAAGCTGAATGAGGGACAGAGGGAGGACACCCAGGCACCCACTGCCTGGGGCAAGGCCCCGCCACCTCCCAGTGGTGCCGATGCTGGACCCGTTGAGGATTCATCTGCTCAGACGTAGGACTCTTGCAACCTTATCACTCCCGAAATGCCCACCATACCTTTACTAGCTGATTCCTGTGTTTGTGTTGCAGCACTGGGGATTGACCCCAGGGCCTTTGCACCGAGCTACATTCCTGGACCTTTTATTTTTTATTCTGAAACAAGATCCCGCTAAATTGCTCAAGCAGTGGGGACACCAATCTACAATCCTCCTGCCTCAGCCTCCCAAGTGCTGGGATTACAACCACATACCACAATAGGGGGCTGCAGCCGAGCCTTTATTTAGTGTGTGGTCTCAGGGAGCATTTTAGACCCCAACCCTAGCAGCAGCTCCCAGTTTAGGGAAGACATTCCTACCAAGGACACTGTAACACACAGTCATGTTTTGTGCGTCACTGGTACCTAATTCTTTATTGAAAGGTTTCTTTTAATCTGATTTGCTTTAGGACCAGGTTTTGCAGCTGAGGTTAGCTCACACTCCCCTTTTATAAGGCCAAGGAAATCCCAGTCCTCGGGGGGATTGTGAACGGCTTCAAGGGAGGAGAGGTGTCCACAGCCTGTACCTCCTCCCCCAACCCATACCAACAGTCAAGGCTTGGGCCAGATCCCAGCCCTGAGGAGGCTGAGGCAGGAGGACAGCCTGAGCTATATGGTGAGTTCAACGTACTCTGTCTCAAAAAGTAAAGTAAAAAACAAAACCTAAACTAGACGTGGTAAAATATGCCTGTAATCCCAGCACTGTGGGAGACTGAGACAGGAGCATCACAAGTTTGGGCCCAGCCTGGGTAACTTAGGCAAGACTCTGCCTCAAATAATAATAATAACAACAAAAATAAAATGGTCTATTCGTGTAGTGGAATATTACTTGGGCAGAAAAAAGCATAAACGATAGATGTGAGGGTAAGCTTTCCGATGTGATGCAAAATGACAGGAGCTAAGTGATGTAAAGGACCATTCTCTCCTAGGATCCCCTCCATGAAATACCTGGAGTCGGCAAACGCATAGACTCGGAGCAGGTTAGAGATGACTTGGGCCGGGGTTGGGGCAGTGCGAGTTATTGCTTAAGCGGTTTCTGTCGGAGGTGGTGAAAACCTTCTGGAAACAGATAGTGATGATGATACGGAAAAGTTTTAGAAAACTTAATAGATTGAATATTAAGGTAGTTGTAGAAGCAAAATAAGTAATGTGTTCTTTTAAGATTTGCTTTTCCTGTAACTCCTTGTTTAAGGTGAGGATTGTCAGACTCTAACCAGTAACTTCATTAACCTAACAGTTACCAAGCCAGGGTGAATTTACAATGTATATGGCCTGTCTTGTGTCTGTGACTTGTAAATAGGAACTGGAATTGTACTTACACATCAAAGACCACAAGGGATGAGATAATGGCTAAAAAGGATATAAAAAGGGAAATGCCGAACAAAGGGCGCGGATATTGACCAGACTGGTTTCTGGCATTCCCGTCCACGCATGAGAAGAAATTTTATTATTTTATCCGAATTCTGTGTCTCTGTGTATTTCTTTCTGAGATTTCCGTAACTGAGCGTTGCTCAATACTTCGAACCCACAAACCCTCCTGAATTTTGCACTTAAGAACCCGCTGGTGCACACCTGTAATCTTGGCTGCTCAGCAGGCTGAGGCAGGCCAGCCTGAACAGCTTAGCAAGAGCCTGTCCCCCCCCCAAAAAAAGGGCTGAAGGTGTAGCTCCGAGGTAGAGCGTGTGCTTAGCCTGGGCAAGGCCCCAGGTTCCATCCCTGGCGCTGAAAATGGTGATTAATCAAGTCTCGTGGCCTAAGCAGCTTTTTTTTTTTTTTTTTTGAGACAGGATCGCCTCTATGCAGTTCAGGCTGGCCTTGAACTCACTATGTAGCCCGGCCTGGCCTCAAATTTTCAGGAATCCTCCTGCCTCAGCCTCGAGAGTGCTGGGATTTCAGGCTGCGCACCACACCCTCCTGAAGCAGCATCTTCCTGTCGACCACTGCCGGTTCCTCTCAGATCAAACCCGCCTGCCCAGCCTGTGCAGTCACCCCCACCCCCTCCCTCCAATGAGCAGCAGCCCTGTCCTTCACCCCAGACCTCTGGAACCTTCCGGATGCCTTCCCCCAACAGCGGGCCCCTCCTTAAATCCTTCCAGATCAGCCTCCTAAACGCAGCCACCAACTCTGCCATCTAGAGCAGGGCTGGATTCCTTGCTCCCTGGTGTTAAAGCCAGTTAGGACCTAGATTAATTAGCCCTTGATTGAGGAGTGGACCTAGGAATCTTGGTTTGGTGGGGACCGATGGATCTTTAGAATTCTGCCCGTTAAATGGATGTGGGACAGAGGGGCAGGGCTGGACCCCAAGTCTTTCACTGCATCGTAAGATCTCTTCTGGGGGCTGAGTGTGGTGGTGAATGCCTTAATCCCAGCACTCAGGAGGCTGAGGCAGGAGGATCTCAGGTTCAAGCCTAGCCTGGGCGACTTCGTGGCTTAGACCCTGTCTCAAAATTTTAAAATATATTTTTAAAGTACCAAACACAAAACCAAGAGAGCAGAGCTCTTGTAGAAAGAGCCAGGCTCCAGACTAGGCTCCGGGAAGAGCAAGGCCCCTCACCCCCAAAACAGGGCCGCCTTTCCGTCTGTGGCCCAACGGTCGCATGAACTTGCTGGGGGGTGGGGGTTGCACAATCTCCTCTGGGGGCGCTGGGGTGGGAGGAGCAGGAGAGGGGCCCCACTTGGGCGCTTCCTCTTCCTCCCCAAGGCACCTGGGTCGGCGGGTGGGCGAAGCAGCGCCCCCAAGTGGCCCCCAGTGCCGGACCCGGGAGGGCAGCGGTGGCCCAGGCTCCTCCCCGCGCAGGAGGGAAGCCCCGCCGGCTCGGCTCGCTCTAGAAGCCGTGCTAGCTTGTCGCGGACGCTGGGGTGGACTCAGCAGAGACCTCCCGGTGCCACCCGCCCTACTGGAGGACAGGAGGAGGGGATGGGAGTTCAGATGAGGCCCGGGCTGCAGCCAGGCCGCGGGTGCAGGGGAAGACGCCCCGGGAAGCAGGGCCTCAGCTGAGGAGCAGCGCCTGGGGGCAGCTGGGCTCTGGAGGCGAACTCTTACCAGTGCCCGGATGAGGCGGGAGAGAGGGCAGCTCGGAGCCGGGGGCGGGGGCCTGGCGACAGTCGGTCCACTCCAGGCAACAGCTTTGCCCAGCCCTGCGCCAAATTCCAGGCTTGGTTGCGAAATCCAGGATTCTAACTATTCACACAAAGCTGAGAGGCTTCAGCACCACATTGCCCCAGTCCCCTTGGAAGGAGCGCAGGGGGCTTCTGAACAACGAGAAGTGACTTGGAAAGAGACCGGCTGTTCTTCGGGTCTCTGCAAACTCCACAAATATATTTGCTGATGCTGCTGGGAATTGCTTCCAGGGTTTTTTTTTTCCTAATTAAAAAAGACTATATGCTTATTTCAGCATTGCTTACAGTAGCCTCAACTTGTATAGTAGCCTGAACTTGGAGGGGGGAACCTCAAATATCCAAAACCAGTAAGATGGATTCATATAGTATGTGGAACGGAATACTATACAGTCATGAAAACGAATGGGCTACAACTATATGTAAGAACGTGGATGACTCTCACAAAAGTAATGTTAAATAGAAGATGTGAGCTGGGGATATCGTACCATGGTACAACATGCCTAGCTTGCATGAGGCCCTGGGTTTGACTCCCAGCATTACACACACACATACATAAAAGACACAAAAGAGAACACAGTGTGACTACACACACATACACACACTTGGAGTACTGATGATTGAACCCAGAGCCTTTACATGGGGTGACATCCTTAGCCCTTTTTACTTTTTATTTTTATTTGTATTTTTTTGAGCCAAGGTCTTACTGTGTAATTCTGGCTGGCCTTGAACCCACTATGTCACCCAGGCTGGCTTCAAATTCTCAACGATCCTCCTGCCTCAGCCACCTAAGTGCTAGGATTACAGGTATGCGCCACCCCCACCCCAACCCTGGCACTTTATTTTTTATTTTGAGACAGGTCTTGCTAAGTTACCCACGATGGGCTTCAACTGGGATCATCTTGCCCTTTGGGGTTCCGATTGCTCAGGCTGGCCTCAAACTTGCAGAGATCCTCCTGCCTCGGCCTCCTGAGGACTGGGGATGACAGGTATGTGCCACCATTCCCCGCTACTTAAGATTGCTTTTTTCAAAGTTAGATACACGAAGGTAATATTTGCCTTCTCAGAATGAAATACAAAATCAAACCTAAAATACACCTCAAAACATAAAAATCTTTGCCGGGGATTTAGCTCAGTGGTTTCACCGACTGCTGTGCAAGCGCAAGGACCCGAGTTCGATCCCCGGTACGAAAAACAAAACATAAAAATCTTTGCAAAAACTTTCTGACCTAAATAAATAAAATGACATCACATGCAATGGGCAAGGAGAGCTTCATTTTTTAGCGGTACTGGGATGGCGTCTAGGGCCTTCACACTCAGCTCTGTTCTCAGCCCTTCCTATTTTTCATCTTGAGGTGGGGACTTGCTACGTTGCTGCATTACCCAGCTGAATTACACTGAGCAGTCTGGACTGGAAATGGTGAACCTCCTCCTGCCTCATCCTCCTAGACTCCTGGGATTATGGGAGTGCACCACCGTGCCCAGCTGGATAGGAAGGTTTGATCTTATTAAGGTAGCATTCTCCTCTGAAGCCATCTACAGCATCAAAGCAGTCGCTGCTAAACTGCCAGCCAGCTTTTTGGGGAAATGGAAAACCTGGTCTTCAAATTGATATGGAACTTCAGGGGCCCTGGAGTAACCAAAATGATATTTAAGAAGAAATAACACCACAAAAAAAAAAAAGGAAAAGAAAGAGAGGGAAAAAGTGACCCACTGACTAGAACAGCGGTACCAGTAAGAAAGAAAACAAGCTAACAATCCTCACAGGCAGCAACGCGGCAAGGGTTTCTTAGGTAGGAACCCAAAGCACAACCAGCCAGAGAGGGGAACAGGTCACACGGGAGCCCTCAGAAACCCTCTGTGTGCGTCTTGCTGGAGAGCAGAGCTCAGACCTCGGCCCAAAAAGCAAAAGCTGTCCGCTGAGGACAACCAGCAGAACGGAAGAAAATGTTTGCAAATCCTGTCTCCTCTAGGGGCCCAGTCTCCAGAATATGTAAAGAACACATGCGGCTCAACAACAGCAAGAAGCATTTACAAACAGGCCGGTGAGCCGAGGATGCTTCCCCAAAGACGAGACGCGGGTGCCGGGCGAGCCCGGGAGGGCAGTCACACCGTTACTCCTCAGACAAACGCGGAGCCGCTTCACACCCACTAGCCCGGCTGTCAAATGAGGACGCCTCATAACAAACACCGCGAGGCTGGGGTCTTCAAACGCACTGGCGCGAAGGATGAATGTTGCGGCCCTTTCGAGAATCGCGGCCGCAGGTAGCTGGGGACCGCAGACCCACGCCTAGGGTTTCTCCCAGGAGCTGACAACTCTCATGCACACCCGAGCGACTGAGTGTGAGCCCGCCGCGAACAGGCTGCCGACCCTGCGACACATGACCCTGAGGTCAGGCGTCCAGCTTTGCAGGCCCTGAGCTGCAGCAGGGACTGGGAGGGAGGTGGGGGAGCCGAGGAGGAGGCTTGTGGTTAATGCCAGTGCAGGCCTGGATAGCAGTGACGCACGCAGGGACTCGTGAACATACAGAAATTTGTAGTAAAATGAGGCCAAGAGTGGTCTGAGAACTACGTCTCAACCAAAAATACCACAATTTTCAAATAAGCAAAAAACATGTAAATTGGGAATCGTCTCTTTTTTTCCCCCCAGTATCCAGGATCGAACTCAGGACCTTGCACTTGAGAGGCAGGCGCAGCTCCACTGAGCTACATCCACAGATTTATTATTTTTTTTTAGACAGGGTCTCGGTATTAGTCCAGGCTGGCCTTGAACTAGCGGCTATCCTCCTGCCTCAGCCTCCCGAATACTGGGACTAGGGTTGTGCACCACCACCCCCAGCAAAGTGCACTGCGAGTACCCCCCAGGAACGCGGCCCGTACTCTGGGCTGTTTGGGGGCACAGTGGAAGGCAGGAGTGTCGCTGACGCCCTCACCCTCCACCAACCGGCGGGAGGGGAGGAAGGTAACACTAGCCCTGAAATGCCCTCAGCCTCCGCCCAGTACGGGATGTCCTAGCACCGGGCAAAACCAAGGGTAGCCCTGGGGGTGGGGGGACCACGGAGGTGGAGGTCTGGAGTGAGAGTGTGGGCGTGGCTAGTGGCGTGGGTGTGGCCTGGGGTCAGGGTCGGGGACTCGGGGAGGGGCTGTGGACAGAGGGGGCGGGGGCTGCTTGGTGGGCGTGGTCTGGGCTCGGGGCGTGGCGATGGGCGGAGAGTCCAGGCAGGGCAGGGCCACGGGGGCCTGGTGGGTGTGGCCTGGACTCGGGGGCGTGGTCTGCACGGGGCGGGGGGTCGGAGCGGGGCAGGGATCGGGGCGGGACGGGGCTGCCCTGCTCTCGCTGCTGGGGGCGGGGCGGGGCGGGCGGGCCGTGGACCTGGTGCCCCAGAGCTGCCCAGATCCCGACCCAGCAGGCGGGCGGGCGAGGGATCGGACGGTGCCCGGCCTGGTCCCTGTCCGTGCAGAGCCTGGGCCCGCCCCGGCCGACCATGCCGCCGCCCGCGCCGCCCACCCAGGTGCTGCCGGCAGAGCGCGTGGCCGTGCTGCTGTCGTGTGTGTTGTCCGCGCTGGGCTGTGGCCTGCTGCTGGCCACGCACGCCCTGTGGCCCGACCTGCGCAGCCCCGCGCGGCGCCTGCTGCTCTTCCTGTCGCTGGCCGACCTGCTCTCCGCCGCCTCCTACTTCTACGGGGCCCTGCGGGACTTCACAGGGCCCTCGTGGGACTGCGTGCTGCAGGGCGCGCTGTCCTCCTTCGCCAACGCCAGCTCCTTCTTCTGGACCATGGCCATCGCGCTCTACCTGTACCTGAGCATCGTGCGCGCGGCGCGCGGGCCCCGGGCCGACCGCCTGCTCTGGGCCTTCCACGGCGTCAGGTGGGTGGCGCCCGCGTCCCTGTCCCGGCCCGGGTCCCGCGCACCCCATCCCGCAGGGGCAGCCCTTGTGGCTCCAGCCCGGCCCCCAGCGAGGAGGACCAGAGCTCAGCCCGTGCCTGGCCCTGGTCACTCGGAAGTCACTGAGATGACACTGCCCCGAGTCTCCTGTTCCACGCCTGGCCATCACTGCTGCCCACAGGGAGAAGGCCTTGGCCGCAGGCTGGCACCCTGGCCCCAGAGCTCCCAGTGCTAGGATTCCAGGTGTGTGCCACTCCACCCCTAGTCGCTTGCATTTCTAGGTTCTAGGTGATCTTGATTTGCTCTCTAGAATTCAGGAGCTTTGAAGTGTGGGGCAAAGGGCGGGTCTGGAAGGGCATCTCAGCAAGGGAGCCCTAGGCAGGGCCTGTGGATTCCAGGCTGTGGGAGGCTCTGGCTGTCCGGAAGGCGGGAGTCCTAGGGCTGCTTCCTCCTCTCCTCCCCTGAAAGCCGAGCACCCTGGCTGCCCTAATTATAGGTCCTTTCTATTAAAAACTTGAGTGCTCTCCAAGGACTGAGCAGAGCGTCAGCACTTTGGTAGCCACGGGTCACCTGGGTGTCACACTGGGGCCTCAAGCTGGCAGTCACTTGACCTCTGGCTCTGATGGCCACTGGACAGAGGCCACTTGGTCCCTGAGAAACTAAGGGACCTGTGTCTCAGCTGTCTGATTCCAAATCTTTGTGCTTACTCAAATAGTAGCCCCAATTGGGACGGTGAGAGGGGTGGAGACAGATTGGCATTCCTCCCTCCCCAGCCCCCAGCTCGGCTCCCTGGTTCCCTGGGGTGGACCCCAGCACCCTCTGAACGGGGGATTCCTGGGTATAGAAGAGCCCAAGCTGCACCTTGCTTTGTCAAGACTCCTTCTCTTTCCCCCTTTCTCTTTAAAAAACGTTGTTGCAATGTACTATGTCATCACTGACTCGAGAAGCAGTTCCTCTAGAAGAGAGATTTCCCAATAAATCCTAGCTGGGAGTTCTTTCTGTTCACTTCTCAGCAGGGACCCTGATGGTCAGGGGAGGGTTTTCTGGGATGCTTAGGGAAGGCTTGCCCTTGGGAAGGCTGCTTGCTCTCAAAGGAACTAGTCAAACCTGTCCAACAGGTTCATTCCTGGACCCAGATCCTCCCAGCTGTGAGGCCAATGACCTCGCTAAGGATCCTCCAGTTTCATTCTAGGGAGTAGCAGTTACTGTTGATGAAGAATCTGTTGATGTGGGCCATGAGGGGCGGGGGGGGCAGGCATCCATTTTTTGACCATTTCGGACTACTAGACATCAGTCTTTTCTTCCAACTTCTAGTCTGGGAGAGCTGTGGTTAGGTTTGGTTTTGGACACAAGATCTTGCTGTGTAGTTCAGGCTGGCCTGGAACTCACTTCACAGCTCAGGCTGACCCCAGGCTTTAGTGATTCGGCCTCCCCAGTGCTGGAATTACAGGCATGGACCACTCAACCTGGCTCTGGAAAGTATATTAAAATGTGATACCAGAAAAGGTGGCTATCTCTATTTTATAAAACAATCTTAAGAATTTTTTTTTTTAAACCCCACAAAGAGGGGATGGGGATTTAGCTCAGGGACGCCTTGCCTGCCTCGAAAGGTCAAGTGTTTGATCCCTGGTACCAAACACACACACACACACACACACACACACATACACACACACACACACACACACAGAGATCCTGGAAAATGGCCAAAGGATACATTCAGCAAAATAATAAAAGCAATTGATTAAATACATGGAAAGCTGGGGATTTAGCTCAGTGGTTCCGCCACCTGCCACCTGCCTCACAAGCGCAAGGTCCCAAGTTCAATCCCCAGTACCAAGAAAATAAATAAATAAAAAGGAAAAAGCTTAGCCCTTTTAATAATCAAAATAATGCAAATTATAACAGGGTACCATTTTCTCATTAAATTAGAAGAAAAATGTAAGAATATTAATGTGAAAAATGCTCATGAAATTGGTATTTTCTACACTGCTACTGCCACTGCAAGTTGAAGTAATCCTTGTAGAAAGTATTTGGTTTGTGCCCCCGATCCAGTAATCCTATTTACCAGGCAGAGTGTAAGGGGACCATCAAAGTGCACGCAGTGTGTGGGCCCTAGTGGGAGCAGCAGGGCAGAGGCCACGCTCCCTTCTGAAATGTCACGCAGCTACGAAATACTGACTCTGAACTAAGTCAGATTTGTTTGGTTTTGTTTTTCCAGTACCAAAGATGGAACCCAGGGGCTTCGCACTGAGCTACATCCCTAGCCCTTTTTTATTTTTAGTTCTTACTTGGAGATGGGCTCACTAAGTTGCCCAGGCTGTGCTTGAACTTGTGACCCTCCCACCTTGGCCCGCAACAGGCCTCCGGCTGCCCGATGTCAAGCAGGAATGCGTGACAGAGTGGTGGTTACAAGGGCCATCACCAACGCTGATCCAGGCCCGGAAGCACAGGCGGGCAAAGTCCCACACATGCACAGGTTCCCGGGAGACCCCTGTGTGGCCCGGTTGCCCTCTCAACGCCTCACGGGCTCCTTTCCTCCACCTGACTCATCCTCACCTGGCCCAGTGCCTTGCAAGGAGCTGTCCATGCCTTAGCTACACATCAGTGGTCACCCAGCCAGAAGGACAGGTCGGTCACCGGCATTCACAGTGGGCAGAGGCAGCCCAGGACCTCTCAGCTACTAAGTGGGAGGCTCAGGGGTAGAATCTCCTTCAGACCTCTCCAAGGTCTATCCCTTTTCATGATTCTATCTTGCCTCTTGGCCTTGATTTTTTTTTTTAAACAGGGGTCTCACTGTGCAGTTTAGGCTGGCCTCAAACTCACTATGTAGCCCAGGCGGGCCTTGAACTCTCAGTGACCCTCCTGCCTCAGCCTTCCAAGTGCTGCAATTACAGGCGTGCGTCACCAGTCCAGGTCTTGACATTTTTTAAAAAACTCAGATATAGGGCTGGGGATTTAGCTCAGTGGTTCTGCCACCTGCCTCAAAAGCACAAGGTCCCGAGTTCAATCCCTGGTACAAAAAAAAAAAATTTTCAGATATAATTGCTGGGGATGTATCTCAGTGGTAGGACTCCTACTTGAGGTCCTGGGTTCCATCTCAAGCACCACACAGACACAATAATCAACAACCATTTAGTTTGGCTATCCAGATTTCCCAGATGCTAACATGTACCATGTTAGCTTTATCCTCTGCAGTTATTTTTTTCTGGAGCCACAGAGGAGTAGCTGACATGATGCCTCTCACCTCTAAGCACTTCTCTGTGTATTTCCAGAAGGCACATGTACCCGGCCACAGTGGCACACACCTATAGTCCCAGCACCTGAGAGGCTGAGGCAGGAGGATTGCTGAGGTCGAGGCCAGGCTGGGCTACATATCAAGTTCAAGACCATCCTGAACTACATAGCAAGACCCTGTCTCAAAAAACCAGAAGATAAGTTTTTAACATTGACTTTTTTGGTGTGTTTTTTTCCCCTGTGGTGCTGGGGACAGAACCTAGGACCCCAGGTACTAGCAAGCCCCAAGGCTGACATTTTCTTTCTTTTTTTGGAACGCGGGTCCTTGCACTTGAGCAGCAGGCAGTGAAACCACGGCGCTAAATCCCCGGCCCAAGGCTGACATTTTCAAAGAGCAGGGGCTCCTCGTGCAGCCTGGGCCTCAGCTTGCTGCTTCCTCCTGCGCGGTTTCAGGTTCTGCACTCCTGGTCCCAGAACCCTGTTCTCACTGGTGGCCTCTTCGATTTTGTGCCTCACTGGTGACCCCCGGGCAGCTCCTTCCCTGCCCACTACTATTTATCCTTTTGGAGTCTACTGCTCACCCTCCACCTCCCCCACTGGAGGGAGGGGCTGGAGCCGCAGTGGGCGGGGCCAGGTCCCTGCCTCCTCCGCAGAACCCCACCCACCCACCCAGCGATACCAGCACAGGGTCCAGGTCGGGTCAGCGGGGGCGAGGTGACCGCCCAGCTCCCCCCAAGAGCCCGGCCTCGGCCCTTGCGTGCCGTGGGCTTGGGGGTGGCTCATCGCACGGGGCAGAGGGCAGGGTCCTCCCACACCCCTCGGGCAGCGGGCAGACCCAGTTGGAGCTTGTTTGGGGCTCCCAGGAAGAGTCTGACACCCGCCCCCCAGGCCAACCACAGTGCCTGCGTGGGGGCAGGAAGTCCCTGCTTAGCGAAAAGGGGAAACAGGAGCTGAGAGGGAGGGTTCTCTGAGGCCTAGCTCAGAGCTGGGTCTTGGGGCTGTCCCTGCAGTGTCCTCACCCCACCCCACCCCCGCAAGATTCCTGCTGCAACTGTAACTGCCACCGGAGCTGTATTAAGAGCTGGCTGACTGGGCCCTGGCGTGACGATGCACGCTTGTGATCTCTGCACTAGAGAGGCTGAGGCAGGAGGATCTCCACGAGTTCAAGGCCAACCTGGGCTACATAGTGAGTTCAAAAAGAGAGTTGACCGGGCTGGAACCATGGTGAATGGATTAATGTGTGGAGAGGATCAGTTACCACAGGAGTGAGTTCAGGATAAAGGGTAGGTTTGGTCCCCAGACTTCATCTGGAGCTGCCCCACCACCTTCTGCTCTGGGTCCCCAGATGCCAGCGCTGTGCTGGGCCTTCCCTACTAGACACTGAGCCCAAGCAGAGGACACCCAGGGCCCAGCCTGGCACACCGGGTCTGCGGAGTCAGAGCCGCCCCTGAGACTACACCAGGCCTAGTGACTGGGCCCCAGGTGCGAGGAAGCTCCTCGGAGGCCAGGCTGAGGACGCATGTGTTTGAAAGGCCACTGCCCCCTCTGCAGAGTAACCTTGTGTGGCCCCAGCTGGGGCTGGCTCCCTGGATGCTCCCATGGCCCTGCCCCACACACGCTGGACAATGAGCGTCCGTTGTCCCAGGGCAGCGGCCTCAGTCACTGGCTCCCTGCAGCTGGGCCCTCCCTTCCGCTCCTCCCGAGATGCCACCGTATCTGTATCAGAGAACTGCGGCACTGGCCCGGGATCTGTCCTCCAAGCTGCAACACCCAAGCAGCCCATGCCCCGAGGGAAGGGGCAAGGCCTCTGGAGCCCAGCAGGGCTCTTTCCAGCAGAGCCCTCAGGAGACCCCCACCCTGCCTGGTCACACAAGGTCCCCAGGTGGGCAGAGCGGGGCTGGAGGACCCTGGGCGTTGCTCTCTGGGAACAGCCACATGCCCAAGGTGTGCTGGGAGCTTGGGGCGTCAGGTGCGGAGTGGCCCGTGTGTGCTTCTAGTTCCTCTTTCCCAAATCCTGTTGCTGTAAACTAAAGGGCAGCCAGTTCTGAGGAGTGGGGCAGCGCTTGTGAAAATCCCACTGGTGTCTGGTCAGGTTCCCCTTCCCTGAGCTGCCCTGCCAGTTGGGATATAGTGGGGTGGGGGTTCCCACTCTTCCCCTCTAGAACCTGCTCCTTGGAACCTGGGCAGAGCCCCCGCCGGAGCCCAGTGGAGGAGCAGGCTTGGGGACAGTCCCTCAGGCAGCAGGGATCTACCTGCCCAGCTCGGAGGCTGAGTCAAGGTCCAGGTGTGGCAGGGCTGGTGTCCTAGAGGCCGCTCCCCTCGGCTTGTACCTGGCTGTCTTCTCCCTGTGTCTTAATCTCTATGAGGACGCCAGACCTACTGGATTGGGGCCCCCACGAGTGGACTCATTTTACTTTATGTTTTAGATTCTGATACAGGGTATCGCTATGGAGCCCAGGCTGGCCGTGAACTCAATGGCAGTTCTCCTGCCTCAGCCTCAAGCACTGGGATTACAGGCCTGCACCCCCCTGCCTGGCTAATGACCCCATTTTAATTTAATTACTTCTTGGAAGTCCCAGTCTCCCATACAGTCACAGTCTCAGGTTCTGAGGGTTGGGATTTCAACAGAAGAACTTCAGGGGACCTGCAGTTCAGCCTGTAACCACCTCAGAGGGGGAAGAAGCCGGCCCGGGCCTGGCGTCTGGGAGAAGCAGTGGGTGTTGCCTTCCCAGGGACCTGCTTGGTGTGGGGCTCCAGAGTCCTCCAGACAGATTCCCCCAGCCCTGGCATCCCCGCGGCCTCAGCGTTACAGGTTTGGGGAGGAGGGACCTCGTCAGCCGACTGCTTTGACCCCCGCCCCAGTCCCCCGTCCCCCCTGGTGGGAGCATCTGGGAAGGAACCGGACCCCCTGCCATTCTTCCTGCCTCTCACGCCCGCTGCAAGGCAGATTTCAGGGTCTCTGGGCATTTGAGGTCAGCTCGAGGCCCCATCTCTTCCTGTGAAATGTGGGGCGCAGGGGTCCACGCAGGCCGCTGTCCTGAACCAGAACTGCTCACATCCGGGCCTCAGGGCCCCCTCGGGCCTCAGCAGCTTCTGGGCTCTGACCCGGTAACTGCCTGGCCTCTTCCACACGGACAAGTGAGTCACATCTGACTGCACTGCGGGGTACGGGCCAGAACCGGAAGTGTCCCGGTCCAAGTCCGGAAGCGGGAATTTCGCTGCGCATGTCTTCCGGCGAACCTTCTAGGCTCCCTCAGAGGTCCCAGACACCAGCTTGCTCCTCGCCCTTCGGTTGGGACGCAGGCACCGTCAGCCCCTTCCTGTTCTCTCCAGCGCGCCCTGGAGCAAGTCTGGAAGACCCAGCTGCCGCAGGTTAGGGGATTTCGTGAGCCAACAGTGAGACCTCGCCGTCGCTGAAAATGAAATCGCATTAAAAGAAAAGCGGCAAGTACTCCAAGCTGGTGGTCCTAACATTCTCTGCCGTGTGCCCGAGGTTTCTTACTGTGAGGCGGAAATGCTACGGGGTGGTCAGACTTTGTCCCCGCCGCAGGCGTCCTGGGCCGGCCGAGCTGCCACCGCGGGAGTGGCGCACAGGGCGTGGTCTGTCCCAGGCTCTCCAGACTGCGGTGACGGTCAGGTACTCACTCTGCTGGCCTTTCGGACTTTGCCTCCTTGGTGGACACCGCCGAACTCCACTGCAACAGCCTTGGGCAATGAGAGCGGTAGCTGGGTGGCAATAAAACTTTATTGTAAAACATCTGCCGTGGGAGGGCCTGATGGTGCACGCCTGTGATCCCAGAACTTGGGAGGCTGGAGCACATGGGTTCCTTCGAATTTGAGGCCAGCCTGGGCCGTACAGTGAGTTCAAGTCCAGCCTGGAGTATGCAGGGAGACCCTGTCTCAAAAAAAAAGAACAAAATAGGGCCGGGGATTTAGCTCAGTGGTTTCGCCGCCTGCTGGGTAAGTGCAAGGACCGGAGTTCGATCCCTGGTACCAAAAACAAAACAAAACCTGGGCCAGGGATTTAGCTCAGTGGTTCCACCAACTGCCTCGAAAGCGCAAGGTCCTGAGTTCGATCCCCGGTACCAGAAAAAGAAAAATTTTCTTTTTAATTTTTTTTGGTACTGGAGAGCGAACACGGGTCCTTGCGCATGCGCAGAAGGCGGTGAAACCACTGAGCTAAATCCCCGGCCCATGAAAGAAAATTAAATAATCCAAAAAAGAACAAAATAAAAAGCCGGCCATGTGATGTAGGCCTGTAGTGCCAGTACTGGGAAGGCTGAGGCAGGAAGATCTCAAATTTGAGAGTAGCCTTGGCTACCTACCTCTGTAGTGTTCTTCAGAGTGCGACTCTTGTCTCAAACGAAAAAACCAAAACCAGAAAATAATAATTAATTATGGGGCCAGGGATTTAGCTCAGTGGTGCCGCCACCTGCATTGCAAGCACAAGGTCCCGAGTTCAATCTATGGTACCAAAAAGAAAAATTAATTAAAAACAAAACAGCAACAACAAAAAACAGACCTTGGGCTTGATTTGGCCTGAGGGCTACAGTTTGCTGAACCCGTACTCTAGTCTAAGTATTATAAAATAAAATAAATAAAATGATGGTGAGCCGAGCACACCATGCTTGGTATTTCTTGGTCTGTAATCTCAGCTGCTCAGGAGGCTGGGGCAGGAGGATGGAAAATTTGAGCCCAGTCTAAGCTACTCAGCAGACCCTGTCTCCAAGTAAAATTAAAGGGCTGAGGATACAACTCAGCAGTAGAGCTGCCTGGGATATACGAGGCCTTGGGTTTATTTCCCAGAGACCCCTAAAAATAGAGAGGGGCAGGGGAGAGGAAGTGTTTTCCCAGCATGGAAACTCATCCCCAACTAAGCAAAACAGCTGCCCGGTGGCCCAGGTGGTGTCCAGCATGTGTCTGATTCCGGGTTTCCTGCATTTCCGTTCCATCCCTGCGTTAAGGAGAGAGGAAGCTGGACCAGCCGAGGAACGGGATTGCTGGCCTCTGCTGAGCTCAACCACAGGTCCCTGTGGACACCAGGGTCCAGCACAAATGAGCGGCATCCTGAGGACCAGCCAGAGCTCTGTAGTTTGTTGTTGCTTAGAGACGTGTGCTTCCCATCCTTGATATCAGTGAAATGCAGGATAAGTCTGTAGTATATGCCGAGCGTGGTGGCACAGGACTGTAATCCCAGCACTTGGGAGGCTGAGGCAGGAGGATCGCCATGAGTTCAAGGCCAGGCTAGGCTACATCGCAAGAACCTCAAATTGATAAATAAATAAATAAATGCTTTTAAAACTTTAGAGTGCATGTACATGCATGCAAACACACATACACTCATTTTCTCTGATTAGCCAGGTGTGAAACATGACCAGTCATCCCTGTCTATGTCCACAAGCAGGTGACTCCGGTCCAGCCTGCTCTGCAAGGTTGCTGGATCTTCCTCCTCCTCCCTCGCTGCTGCTACCTCTCTCCTCCTCAGCAGCTTCTGGTCCCCAGATAGCAAGGTGGCCCGAGGGCCCCCCTCAGCTCAGTTGACTACGCCACACCCCTGAGCAGCGCCTTAGCTGAAAACACCCGACCCCCCCCACCCCGTCCTCCCAGCTGGGCTCAGCACACCCCTCAATTCACGCAATGGCCCAACCTCAGCACGTCCCTCTTCCTGTCGCTCCTCAGCTGGGGCATACCGATGACCATCACCGTGGTGGCTGTTGCCCTCAAGAAGATCGGCTACGACGCCTCCGATGTGTCGGTGGGCTGGTGCTGGGTGGATCTGGAGGCAGAGGACCGCGTGCTGTGGATGCTGCTGACGGGGAAGCTGTGGGAGCTGCTGGCCTACGTCACGCTGCCGGTGCTGTACCTCCTGGTCTGGAAGCACATCGACAGAGCGGTAGGCGCCCGCCCGCGCGCCCTCGGGACGGCAGTGCCTCCAGCACGCGCTGCACACCGGCTCAGCCCGAGGGTCGGCTCCTCCTCGGCGGAGTCCTATTCTGTATCCCCCTTTGGTAGCCCAAGAGGCCGCTGGGGACTGAGCCGGGGCCCCAGCCCGGGTTCTCGGCCCTGCCCTCTACTGCCCCCCTGTGGATAGGACGCGGTGTTGCTTACACTTAGGAGTTAGCTAAGTCCGTGATGCCTCCGATCAGAAACGGGGATGTTCAGTGGTGCCGCGCTTGCCTCGAAAGCTCAAGGTCGTGAGTTCGATCCCCAGAGTCGGGGGGGAAGAAAAGAAACAGACCCAGGAGTGGGTGGTTGGAATCACAGCAGGGCTGGCAGACAGGTGGGGTTTACAGCAAGGGCTCAGGCTGGGATCTGCCCCACCCCATAGAGTTAGAAGCATAATTATGTTAAAAGACTGAACATGGCAAGGGTTGGGGGCCAGAGAGACACCCCCCTCGGAGTTCCTGTCCTGTCTTTTAGTTCACCCTGGGATTTGGGGTTTGGCTTTGGAGTGCTGGGGTTGCTCCAAGAGCAAAGGCACTCCTCATGGCCCTCTGTGACCTCGAGCCCCTGGTCTCTGCCCTGAACCCCCATCTATGTCTTCTTGAGACTTCTGGTGCTCTGTTGCTTTTTAAAATTATTTTAATTTTGAGACAGGGTCTCACTATGTAGCCCAGGCTGACCCTGAACTCACAGCGATTCTCCTGCCTCAGCCTTCCCAGTCCTGGGATCACAGGTGTGGGCCACCATGTCTGGCCTCTGCTTTTGACTCAGTAGTGCAGCTGATCCGCACCCCGCCTGCTGCCTCTGGCTGGAGAGGCAGGACTTGGCAGTGGGTCTGCTATTGCAGTGTCTTCCCAAGGTCTTTTACTCTGTCCCTGCTGGGCCTTGCTCCCTCTTTTCTTCTCTCTCCTGCACGACGTGAAGGCCCAGGAGCTCCAGCCTCTGGAGATGCCGTGTGTGTCCTTCTGCTTTCTGCCCTTCCTAGAGCAGGGCAGGGAGCCTGGAGCCCCGGCCCTGCCCCGCTGAGCCTACAGGAGATGGCGAGTCCCTTTTGACAACCTGGACAGTGTTTTCAGAAACAAAAGGAATAAGACGAGCAGGGAGATGGCAATGTGAGGTTGTTCCCCGCCTGGAGCTAGGAGGGCTAAGGATAAATGTGGGCAGGATGCAGCGCTGCATACCTACGATCCCAGCACTTGGGAGACTGAGGGAGACGGATCGGTATGAGTTCAAGGCCAGCCTGGGCTACATAGCAAGACCCTGCCTGAAGTGGGGGGGGCCTTCACTTTGCAGAGCAGCCCAGGCTGCGGCCCCAGCTCTCCAACCTCCCTGCCCCTCCTCCGAGCCCCAGCCGTTTAGGGTGCGGGTGGGGCGTCCAGCTCTCGGGACTGCTGCCCGGGAACCAGGGAGGCAGAGCGTGCTCCGGACTGGGTCTTCAGTGTCCAGACACGGGCCTCCCTGTCAGGCGCGGTTCACCTCTGGGGGCGCAGGCTCTTGCTGCGTGGGTGCAGAGGTGACCTGGGCGCCCCAGGAGGCGGGGCGGGCAGTGCGATCCCCCGGCTCAGGCTCAGGCTCAGCCCCCCCCCCCCCGCACGTAGCACGAGGCGCTGTCCGAGTACCGGCCCATCTTCGAGTCACGCCGGCCGCAGCCCTGCGCCAACGCCTCGGTGGCCGACAAGAAGCTGCTGCTCATCCCGCTCGTCTTCATCTGCCTGCGCGCCTGGAGCACCGTGCGCTTCGTCCTCACGCTCCTGGGCTCCCCGCTGGTGCGCTCGCCGGCGCTGGTCGTCCTGCACGTAGGTGTGCGCTGCCCGGGGTGGGCGTCCCTGGGGCCAGGGGGCAGGGAGCGGTCCCCTGCGCCCCGGAACAGGCCAGCGTCCCCGGCTGAGGCTGGATTCTCTGGGGCCTCGGCAGCCGCCCGCCGCCAGCCTCCCCTCTGTCCCCGCAGGGCGTCGGGAACACCTTCCAGGGAGGGGCCAACTGCATCCTGTTCGTCCTCGGCACCCGCGCCGTCCGCATGCGGCTCTGCTCCCTGTGTCGCTGTTGTCCCCAGCCCTCCGCCCCGGGGCCCCCCGGCCCCCCCGGCCCCCCCAAGGCACCCACGTTCTCCAAGACAGGAGACCCCCCGGGACTCCCCCAGTGACGCTGTCCACCCCTGAGGGAGCGCGCCGATTCAGCCTCTTCTACCTCCGGCGCCGCGGGCCGCGGGCCACCGCTGGTGTCTCTCGCCCTTGGGGTTCATCTGCCAGAGGCCAGCAGGAGACTCAGGGAGCTGGGGACACAGGGTCCCACGAGGAGCCTCTAGTCCAAGACCCGCAGTGTCCCAAGGCCATGATTCGCTGTTTACAGTTCGTGAGACCCACACTGTGCCCCCTGTGACTAAATGTCAGGGGTCCCAGGGATGGGTCCCCAGCCGTAGTCTCGAGCAGAGTCCTGGGTGACAGGGCGTCCAGTCCCTGGGGAGCCCAGCTTCTTGGGCCAGCATTGCTGGTCAACAGCGGGGCCGGTTCCCCGACGGAGCCACACATCTGTCTGCTGCAGCTGCATGCGACGGCCACCAAGAGCACAGCCCAGCGCAGGGCCCGGGGTCTGTGTCCCCAGCGGCCCTGGACTCTGGCTGTGGGTCGCCAGTCCCCAAGGTGGGCTGCACTTGTTTCCACTCAGGCCAGAACCCACAGTCTTGCTCTCCCCGTCCCGTAAAACGCAGCTCCCCTGGTCTGGTGCTGGGGCCGGCGGCATCTCAGGGAGTCCCCAGGACGCTGTTTCAGACAATTCCCTCATTCTTAGCACTAGCGCACCCAGAACAGGCAAGTCAGGAGGATCCGCTGGGCAGTTACTGAGTGACCCAAACACTTTATCCCAGAGGCATAGTTTTTCAGACTCAGCCTTGGGCTGGGAGTGGAACCTCACCGTGCAGCACCTGCTCCTGCCCCCAGCACCAAAGAAAAAGGCCTTTCTGGTGGTTTTGGGGGGAACATGGCAACTTGGATCCTGGGGTGAATTTTTACATTTAAAAGAACAAAGATTAAAAGTGGGTTTTGTTTTTGTTTTTTGGAGATGGGACCCAGGGCCCAGTGCTTGGTAGCCGAGGGCTGCACCGCTGAGCCATACCCCCACCCCTAGAAGGGACTGGAGAAACAACTGTGTCTCCCAGCAACCCTTCCCTCTCATTCCAGAAAACAGATTCTGCTATTCCCAGACTCTCGAGACAGGAAGTAAAAATGTTACCCTGGCTCACCCAGGGAAAGCCCATCTTTACCCAGTGGGCCAGTCCCCTCCAAGTCCGTTAGACGCCACCAAACTGGAAGGATCGGCCCTGGCTTAAATTTAAAACAAAAACCCCACCGTGTGATCAATTCCTGTTTTGCTCTCAAAACCAAAATTCGTATCAAGAAGGAGTCATTCAGAGGACTGATTCCAAAAGGCTCCTTTCTGGTTTCCTCCGAGGCGGGTGTCTGAAGGTCAGCAGTGCGCGGCACCCCCTGGAGTTCTGACAATGCCAGGAGCTGCCCCACAGGACCATTCCTGGCCATGGGCAGCCCGTGTTGGGGTCCCTGGAACCCCTTAGAGACGTCACAGCAAATATCTGGGCACAGCTGTATAGAACAGAAGAAGAACTTGTGGGAAACGAGGAAATGATTCACAGTTTGAGTCACAGTACCAGCCATGAGGAATGAGGTCACAATGAGCTCCGCTGAGGCGGCCTTCGGGCCCTGGCCCTGGCCCTGGCCCACCAGCACAACCCCGAGGCAGCTCAGAGACAGGGTTTCCCCAGCCAGCTGTACCGGAGGAGGCCTGCAGGGGGAGTCCGGGCTCAGGTACCGGATCTCGCCCTCCCGGCCACCTCACAGCCTCTGCCCTCTGTCTGGCCAGTGACCAGTGCAGTGGCTGCTGGGGACTCTGGTTCAGAACTTGAGGATGAGCCCAGTGTGGTGGCACATGGCTCCAGTTCCAGCACTCAGGAGGCTGAGGCTGGAGGATCGCCACATGTTTGAGCCCAGCCTGAATTACACAGCAGGACCATTTCAAAAAAACAAACAAATAAAAGTAGAACTGAGGATGACGGGAAGGGAAGTCAGTTTTGAACATCCAGGATGGGCCGGGCTTCTGATCAGAACCACCTAGGGCTGCCATGTTCCATTCCCACTCTGGTCAGGCCCTGGGCGGCGATGTTAACGTTCATCTGCTGTGTCCCCTGGTCACCCAGGTGTGACCTCAGCCTTAAGGGGTCCTCAGGCCGCAGCAGTGTTCCCGCCTGGCACGCTTTGTATGCACTTTCTGGATCTTGCTGGAGTAACATTCCCCAGCCACTTCCTGCCCGTGTGTGCACGTGTGTGTATTTGGACTGTCCTGGTTTTGCGGTTTTTTTGGTACTGGGGGTGGAACTTGGGTTCTTGCGCTTGGGAGGCAGGAGGCGGAACCACTGAGCTAAATCCCTGGCCCCCTGTTTTGTTTTGTTTTTTAATATATAAAGGCTATTATGTGGCTGAGGCTGAATTCTTCCTATGTCCGACAGAATCCTTCCTATCTCCACAGCAAAAATATTTGTTTTTACAAATTTCCAATTGTGCCATGACTAACTGTGAGTTTTTGCACATGCAGAATTGTGAAAAGCCTGACTGGCTGGGTGGAGGCCAAAGTCATGCTGTTTTAACTTAAATAAATAATTATTTTTCTTCTGTGTGTGTGGTGAACTGATTGCCATCGGTGTAGGGAGGGCTGGGCGGGGTGATGGAGGTGACATCAACAGCCTTCCGTGTCCCTGAGAGCTGGAGGGGCGTCTTCACCCCTCCCTGTTGACAGAGTCCTGAAACCCAGGGCAGTGGTGCTGTCATCCAAGTGCTCTGGGAGGCTGAGGCAGGAGGATCACAAGTTCAAACCCAGGTTGAGCAGTTTGGTGATTTAGTGAGATCTTGTCTCAAAATCAAAAAGGGCTGAGGTCGTTTGACCTCCTGGGTTTCCTGAGGGGAGTCGAGGGGCAAGAGCAGGGGAGGATTAAAACACAGATTCCTGGGCCCTCAGTCCAATGTAGACCAGCAGGCCACGTCCAGGGCGCCGGGGACTGAGAGCCGCCCCGCCCCCTCTGGGCGTCACGTGACACGACTCGCGGTGGCCCTGCCTCTGCCTCTGCAGCTTCTGTGCGTGCGCAGGGACGGCTGGCACAGGAGGGTCTCCCTGAAGGTCTCCCAGCCCCAGCAGCCGGACCCCGGTCCACAGGCCCCGCCCCACCTCGGGAAGATTTTTGTTAAACTCCTCCATCCCGGAACTTTGACCACAGCGATCCCAAACTTAGTGGGGTTTTTTGTTGCATTTTCTGGGTTTTGTCAAAGGAAAACTCCATTAGCTCCTGGAAATGGCGCTTTTCTTTCCCTATTGCTGGAAATTAAGCCAGGGCCTTGGTGCAGAGCTACGTCCCCAGACCTTTATTTTTTATTTTGAGACAGGGTTTCGTCAAGTTGTCCGGGCTAGGCTTGAACTTGCAGTCCTCCTGCCTCAGCCTCCAAAGGCTGGAGTTGCAACTCCATTGTGAATTTGCCCCTTTCCTGGGCTCTGTGACTGCACAGCCCCAGGCCGGGTGTTGCTGGGCAGGGTGAGCAGCAGCAGGACCACCAGGGGGCCTCAGTGGGCTCTCAGAGTGGGAGGGAGATGCCATGCTATTCATTCATGCATCCACTCATTCCGCACTGGGGTTAAACCCAGGGCTTTTGGCCATGCTGTGCCACGGAACATCACAGCCCTATCAAATTTTAAAAGATCGAATGTGTGGTTCAGGGGCTGGCAGTGTAGCTCAGTGACAGAGGCTTGCCTATCATGTACAAGGACCTAGGTTCGATTCCCAGCAAGGAAGGCAGGCAGGCAGGCAGGCAAGCGTCAAGGTGGGCAGGCCTCCAGGGATGGATCAACTCCCGTAGGAAAGGAGCAGCAGCCGTCCCGAAGCCTGCGGCCCTGGCTCCCACTTGGCCCCGCCATTCCTGATTCAGCCCTGTGGGCCAGTGCTGTTGCCCTCTCCGCCTCCATTTCACCTGCACGGGGCCACTAATGACCCTGAAATGAGACCTGTGCCTGGCACGATGCCTGGGACACCGGACGTCCCTTTGTCTGGTGTCATCAGCGGGACTCTGAAGGTCCTGCTCCCTGCTCACCCTGCAGAGAGCCTCGCCCTGTTTCGGGGTCCCCAGGCACAGCCTCAGATCAGCGTCAGCCCTGGGAAGGAAGAATTAGCCTACACACCTTCCTGCAGCTTCCCCTCACCACGATCCGGGACAGCGCAAACCTCCTTCCGGCCCTTTCTGACCTTCTCTTCCCTCAGAGGGACGGCAAGGTCCTGGGGTGGGGAGCAGGGGGGCTCAGCAGGCACAGAGGACTGAGTGGTGACACCCACGTCTGCACCTGCAGGGAGACCGCTGGGTCCCCCGCTGGACCCCCAGGAGCTGGGGGCCTAAGCGGCCATTTCTGTACAGGGGAGGAAGGAGGCGGTTTGGAGGGCCGAGAAATTCTCTTGTAAAGTTATGTTTGGAAAATGTCCACACAGGATTGCCTTCTTTGATCCTTTTTCGTTTCTTAAATCGCTATTTACTGATTTTCCCTGTACTGGGGCTGGAACCCTGGTCTTGAACATGCTAGGGAAGTGCTCTCCCACTGAGCTACCCCAGCCTGATTACTTTTGCTTGGATTTTTGGTTGGTTTTTTTTGAGACAGTCTCCATATGTAGCCCAGGCCACCCTTGAACTCATCCTGCCTCTGTCTCCTGAGTGCTGGGATTACAGGTGTTCGCCACCACAAGAGGCATAAATTTTTTTTTAAGAAGCAGAGTCTCACTGTGTTGGTCTCAAACTCCTGGGCTTCAGCAACCCTCCTGCATCAGCCTCCTGAGGTAGGGGACTCCAGGCAGTCTGATCAGAACAGGTCATGAGGTTAGAGGTGGTGGGTCCCGCTGCATTTACTCAGCCAGGTCTGGCTTCCTGTGGGCTAGGATAGATCCAAGAGGGCCTCTCTGCCCACAGGGGCGCAAAGCTATTTCGGCCCCACCAGCACCCAGAGCACCCAATGAGCCCTGGGGTGAGTCAGAGTGGGACACAGATTGGGAGCCCTGGCGCTGGTGCTCGGGGAGGAGCCTAGCAGCATCAGCCAGGCAGAGAGTGAGGCTCCTCCAGCCCCAAAGACAGTGGAGCCTCAGGGACTGGCGGAAGTGCAGATTCAGCAGGTGGGGTGCAGCCTGAGAGTCTGCACCCCAAGACCCCTCTGCCTGCTGGGGGTGGACCCCAGGGCCTCTGGGCTGACAGGCAGCGTTACCACGGAGCTGCTCCCGGCCTGAGCTATGCACTCTAAAATGCCTCAGATGATGTAAGGTTTATGCTATGTGTTTTGTAATCACAATTTTTAAAACAATGAAGTTTAAAAACAAACAGGTGGGGCCAGGGATTTAGCTCAGTGGCACCTCACCTGCCTCCTCGAAAGTACAAGGTGCCGAGTTCCGTCCCTGGTACCAAAATAAATAAAAATTTAAAATAAAATAAAAACAAACAGGTGACCTGGGTGTGGTGACACATGACTATAATCCCCAGGCTCTGGGAGACTGAGGCAGGAGGATCTTAAATTCCAGGCCGGCCTATGCAATTTAGTGACTTAGCAAGACCTTATCTCAAAATAAAAAATAAGAAAGGATTAGGGGCATAGCTCAGGGCAAAGGTCCTGTCTTCAATCTCCAGTACCAAAAAACAAAACAGAACAGCAAAATTACCCCACAAAAAACTAAACCATAACAACAGAAAAAAACCCCTAGAGATTCTATCCAGGGTAAAGTATAATCAACAGGTGCCACCTGGGTCCCCAGGAGCCTTCCTGACTCCCTCACGTCCATGCTTTTGGTTCGTGGGTCCCCGGGAGCCCTTTTGTACCCATCCTGTGCCCCTTGTACATGCCCATAGGTGGGGCCAAATTCTGTTCTTGGGAAGAGAAAGCGCGACAACCCCATCATGTCTTTGGAGGGTGCACACCAGGTGTGTCCCAGTGTGGTCAGAGCCTCCCTGCCTTGGGCACACTTAGCAGAAGTGTGGATAAGAGCCCCAGTATGCCAGGGCACAGGATCAGAGCGAGGACGCTAACGGGGCCTGGGGAAGTGCCTGCCTACCTGCAGCCCAGGTGCCTGGTGGGTGTGGGTGGGCACAGGGTGAGGGAGGTGCCCCAGGTGGGCATAAGGCTTCTGAGGGGCTGTGTCCACCCCTGCCCTCCCAGGAGAGGAGTGCCAGGCAAGGTACAGGCAATGGCCTGTTTGTGACCTGCTAATGACGGCCCTTATCGAATCCGGAGAAGAGGTGGCCTTTGGAGGCTTCCGGCCCCCTGCCCCTCCTGCCAGCCCAGGCAGTGGCAGACACCAGGTGCGTGCAGGGCATTCTGCTTCGATGTCCTAGAGGAACTGACCACATGGCACAGAAAAAGAACGCATTGGGAGGCAGAGTTGGTGATCCCTAGGCGTCTTTTTAATCTGAATCCAAACAAAAGCAATTGCGGTCTTGATAAAACCTGCGAAGGTGGTGGTGCACGCCTGTAATCCCAGCACTCTCCAGGCTGTGCAGGAGGATCGCTACAAATTCAAAGCCAGCCTGGGCTACATAACAAGATGCTACCTCAAAAAACAAAAACAAAACAAAACCAAACCCTGGGCCAGGGATTTAGCTCAGTGGTTCCCTGCCTGCCTCGCAAGCGCAAGGACCAGAGTTCGATCCCTGGTACCAAAAAAAAAACCCAAACAACAACAAAACAGAAGGTCGAGTGAAGCCCCATGGGCTGGTGCCGAGGTCAGGTGAGGGTCCCCAGGCTTTTGCCTGTCACTGGCCTGGGATCTGCAGGGCGGAGCCAGGTGTCTCTGAGAGGAGCTGAGCTTGGCAGCATCGGCCCTCGGTTCAGCCCCTGGCACACAGCCAGAAAGTCTGGCTCAGCAGTGTCACAGCCCAGGAGCCCCAGTGTCTTCTGCTCCCTCCCTGGCCCGAAGCTCTGATGAGAGAGGGCAACCGGGCACCACTGAGTCCTAGGCTCTGCGGTGTCTGCCGTCGCTGCAGGCTTCCTCCCAGCTCCTGACAGGGCCAGGCATGTGCAGGAGAACACATGGGCACATACTCGTGTTCAGCATGCTGACAGCCACCCCTTTGCCAGCCCCACACCAGCGACCTCCCCTGACAGGGCCAGCACCAAGCATCCAGCAGAGCCAGTGGCGCCAGTGTACAAGAGACTCAGCTGTTGGAGCTCCCTGCTTTCTGTCCCCGCAGACTTTCAGGTATATGTTAATGGAGGCTGAGGCAGGAGGATTGCCAAGTTCAAGGCCAGCCCTGGCAACTTAGGAAGAGCTTTTCTTGAAAGAGAGAAAGAGAGAGAGAGAGAGAGAAAAAGAGCTGAGGATGTAGCTCACTGCAAAGGCCCTGGGTCCAATCCCCAGTACCACAAGAAGAGGAGGAAGCAGAAGGTGGAGGAGGAGGAGGAAGAGAAGCAAGGTGGAGGAGAACTCACTCTCCTACCGAGTCCAGCCGGGAGGTTGGGCTGCATGGGGCTCTCTGCGGTCAGGCCCCCGCCTCCTCCATCTCCTTGCTCTGTCCAGTGTGGCCTCTGTCATGGCCAAGCTGGCGGCCCCACCCTCCGGGCAGCAGGGTATAAGGTCACTTTGCATCCACAGCCACAGAGCGTCCACA